TCTCTCTCTCTCTCTCTCTCTCTCTCTCTTTCATGTGCGCACTAAGGGAGGCAAACGTGCCTCGGTATCGGAAGGCGAGAAGGAAACTGAGGGTAGGATAGCGAGGAGCGCCACGGCAAGGAGCGTAACGTTAACGTGGCGGTACTGTTAGTTTCTCGAAACGAACCCCAATGAAAAGACTCTGCTGCATCTAATGTCTTCGTAGCTTCGAGCTAGTACAGAATCGCTCAATAGCACGAGCCGGCTCTCTGACAAGACGACGTATCGCACGGGACACACGGGGAACTCTCGGAACTCGTTTCATCGTCAGCTCTATATATCAGCTGCCGAGTATGATTCCAAGACCTTCGCTCTTGCCCTCTTTAGCTCTCGTTTCTGTTTGACGGGACACGGTGGGTCGCGTCTTTTTCTTTGGCGCAAAACGAGGCACACGTGCGCGCTATTGACGTCTCGGCCAACACACATCGGACGTCATTCGGTTGGACGACACGTGGGGCACAACGGGTACTCTAGTGATTGGTAATTGATCACGGGACGACCGACCTACGAGACCCCGTGGGACTTTGACAAAAACAGCGGCACCTGAATGAGCAGCGACATTTCCACCCGCAAATGATTCTTACACGTGATGAAGTTTCATGAAATTCTCTTCCGTGAAAACATAGGAAGAATGGTATTCCAAGATATTCCATTACGCGATTCATTGCGTGCACACAATACGCACACAATAGTACACGCTTCAATCACATAGAATTGCTCGACAGCGAGACGACCACCACTCTAAACATAGATGTGCTAACGACGACGTCGTCGTGGAAGTGTACATATTGTTGACGCCGAGTTGCGCAACTTTGTGCAAAGTCGTAGATAGTCCGCGGATATGCAAGTGTGAGAGAGTCGCTCGACGTCGTCGTCGAGGGCGGCAGGCGGCCGGTTTCGCTAGGAAACGTGAAGGCGAGGCAAGAGGAGGACACGCTGCGACAAGGAAGACGCGATCACGTCGTTGGGACGAAGCGACGACACGTCGTCCCCATTGATCGACTCCGTTCGCAACGTACACAGGACTTTAGTCTCTCCACCGTGCGAAAATTCGCATGGTGACGCATAGGACGGAACGTCCGCTTTTCTTCTCCTCTACCCAGTCGCTTTCTTCCGTGCGTTTGTCTCTTCGCGCTCGCTTCTTCGACGGGAATTCGTCGCATTCACGATCGCCCGAGTACACTCCTTTCATTTCGCGTCAGCTGGACGTAACGTAACCATTGGTGCTTCAAGCACGTAGAGACTGATATTAGTTTTCTTCCCGAGCAATGTTTTAATTGCGACGCTTCCCTCAAAGATGGAAGAGTTAATTTGCTAGTCAGCCATTCACGGAATCGTCGGCAGCTGACTGATTGCAGGCCGATCCTGAAGCTAATTTCGCGTGCATGTACGCAGGAAATTTCTTCCCGTGTTTACGGCGCGTAGGTGCGCTCGGTGATGAACGGCGAAGTGCGGCGGGATGTAACGAAACGCGACGCGGCAAGAGTTTATGGCGCGGCAAGTAGCTGTTATTTGAATGAACGCTTCGCGCAAGTGGAATGTCGTTTTGGAACGTATATTGCGAGTCGCTTGCGGCAAGTTGGGGTTTACTTGCGGATTTCGACACGCGTGAACATACCACGCGCATGTATTCGTTCTTTACGACAAAACACGTTTCACCAAAATATGACATGTATGTGCGTATGTGTGCACGTGCTTCGCACGTTCTATAATATTCAGGAAAGTGGCACGTATTACGTAGACAATGCGTAAAAATTATTTACAAAAGTTTCGTCATATATTCGAAGATTTGTTATACGTAGTTAATTTATCGCACTTGCCCTCGCTCTCCTCACATTTAAATTAATATCTCAGCTCTACACCACTGATTTTCATGACCGATCTCATTACGTGGTTCTGTGTTGTTTGTCGATGCTCAAAAATAAATTATATGGTAATGATTAGTAAATTAATTATAACGAACATATTATCAGATATTATTGCATTTGCATATCAATGTATTAGGTTTTGCAATGGCATTGTAATCGTTAAATTGGATATAATGGATTATTAGCGACGATGTTCATCGACAGGCAATCACGTGAACTCTTAGCTTTGTACGTGCAGCGCCCGTTGCGCTTTGTACTGCGCATCGTAATCAGCGATCTTTCCGTTATGACTCATTAGTCCGGTTTCTCTCGCTTGCCTTCTCGCCGCTTGTTTACTCGTTGTTGTGACTATTCTTCTCATGTTAAACGTACGACAAGTAAAAATATTTTGCCGCATTTAACGACTCTCATAATATCATCCGTTTTGTCCAATTCTTCTTGGTTTCTCATTTCCGCGTGCAATTAAAATCATAAAACCAAGTAACTCGGAGTCTTTGAAAAGTTACAGGGTTTAATCTCCGCTATCTCTCTTCTCTCTCTCTCTCTCTTCCTCTGACGGCCATCTTTTTTAATCTTTAATGAATGTCATCTATTCTCTTCACGTTCTTAGAAGACACAGCTGCATAATTCTCTATCCGGTATTGCGTTTGCTGTCATATTTGCCGACGTGCGTCTCAGCCGTGTTATGAAATGTTATTTTCGTCTATGCCGGCACGTAATTCTTATGTTTTATAGAGACTTGTGTGTGTGTGTGTGTGTGAGAGAGAGAGAGAGAGAGAGAGAGAGAGAGAGAGAGAGAAATGAAAAAGAAAGGAGAAAAGACAACTCTCTATATAATCTTGAAGCCTGTACTTTTGCGCAAGATGAAATAAAAGATAAATAATATAACGAGCGAGTAACTTGATTCGTTGTCGCTGTTACAAAAAATATTTCGTGATATTTCATTGTAAACGCGCACACGCACGCATCTGCGTGCATTCCTTGATTTTAATTGCAGTCATTATGATAATTAACGTTAAATTATGTACACCGCCGGAAAAGTCGATAAAGCTCGGATTTGCCTCGTCGAGAAGAAAGGATAATTCTCCGGCGAGGATCTGCTCTACTGTGGAGACAGAGAGACGCGAGGGGTGAAGGGGCGAAGGGAGAGATATAGAAGGGGTCGCGGAGAAGCGCGGGAGAAGCGAAAGGGAGAGGTGCGAGAGCGGAAGGGGAGCACGATGAATAAAAAGGAGGTAGGCAGCGCGATTTGATAAGACTTCACATTAATACAACTCTCTTTTGGAACATCCCACGAGAGACGGGCGGACTACGACCTTCCTATATTTAACCTCGTCTCATCGAGCAAAAAGGAAACCGACTTATACCTCGGAGGTACTGTCTCGTTGGTTGAGATTACACGGATAATTGGGGTCTCCATCTACCTATTCTTTTCTCACATCCTACTCTACTCGACCTCTCTCAGCCTAGCCTCCTTTGCTAACTATGGATCCACCGCTTCGCGCGAGGGGACCGTCTCGTCGTGGCCTCCCTTTGACCTCTTGGCAAGTCGAGTAGCTAATTCGTCCGCGGAGCCGCAATGGCCCGGGGAATAAGGACGGTTAGAAAATTGAAAGCACGGCGGTCAAGACCGGCGGTCCTCTCCGAAAATTCGCGGTGAATAATGACGGCGGGTGAAAAACAATCGTGACGTCACCGGCCGGGAAGGATGGAGAGGAGGATCTATCGCGTTTAATAACGTCTCGGGGGAATTGACGAGGAAATTGGAATAGAGTAGGGAAATAAATCCGAAAAGTTTCCCGCAAAGCGCCAGGTCTTACGATTTTTTCCTCCCTTTCGCCGAACGTCTCTAGATAGCAGGCAAATTGGCCGGTTTTCCCGATTTTCTCAGTCGATTCGCTCGAGGTGACTATGCATGTGTGTGTATGACTTTAATTAAGTTTGCGAACAATCGCGCTGCCCGTCTCGATACACGAATCGGTCAAACGCGAGTGAATGTAGCTGTACGATAAATCCTCGGGAAATTAACGAGCGACAGCGGATGTAAAGCGATTTGACGTACCGTTAGCGTAATTCATTATCGCTCGCGCGCCTTCGAGGGGCAGATAGGAGGAGGAAAGAAGGAATAAGGGAATAAAGGTAATCAAGCTATTGCTTCAAGATCGATTGCAGTTCGTGCAGCGGCGTAGCGAATACCCGCCGCGTAAGTAACAGTGCCGCAAGTTTAAGACTCATTAGCGCTCGAGAGGTCAATCACTCTTACGTACCATTAGTCACTTCGCCGTTGGTGGAGCCAATCATTCTTCAACGATATCCACAAAGAAAAGAAAATTCCAACTCGGGTAACTGAATGGTAAACCAAATCAAAATATTCGCGAACGAGAAATAATGTCTCTGTTACTCTGTAACTGAAAACATTCGTCTGATTATTCAGCTGTGTTAAAAGTTATCTGAGATAACCGAGAGCGATCAGCTGGGTAAGTGCCTCCTGCAGGAATATCTCTGTTTACACAAGTAAACAATTTTTCACCTAGTTCCCAAATAACAGAAAATTCAATCACACTAATTGTTTTTTCCGTGTACGTTAGACGGGGCGACTCGATGGAGAGATAAGAAGGCGATCGCGGCGAAATGCGCTGAAAAACGCGAGGAGTTCGTGCCGCCGACTATAACTCCCCAGGAAGTTCCGCTTTCGGCGCCGTTCATCAGCAGGGTGGAGCGGAAGTTGACGAGACCGACTGAATGTACACTCAGTAACGGAAGGAAGGGTCGCGCGAGCGGAAGCGGAGGACGCGTTCCGAGAATGGAGGGCCGATGAAGTACGACGGCCACGCTCGAGGGCAGAAGGGCCGTAGGTTATCAGCCCACGCACCGCCACCCCCTTCGTTGGACCGCGTTCACGACTGATCGTAAATGCGAATCAGGCGGTGCTCTCCGCGGGGGCGGGCCCTTTACATCGCTAATATCGCGCGATTGTGGTGCTTCTTACCTTCGCCCCACGGAGCGGGAAAGAAATGTCTTTTCGCGCGCGGTCTCCCGGCGCCCGCGAACGCTGACGAACTATTGTGGACGGGCCGTCGGGTTGACGAGAGGCGAGAGCGCGTCACAATGGTTGGCAACGGGCGTTCGACTGGATGGAATTTCACTCCGACGAAATTTAATTTCTTCGTGAGCTCGTGTCCGAAGAAACGCGATAGAGCGTCTCGCAAGGATTGGATATCCAACCTTGGCGTCGGCGTCGGCAGTAACGTCGACGGCGCGGCGCGGTATGACGGGGAAGAGACGATCGTGGGTGCCGTGAGAATCGGACTGCAGGGGCTCACGCGGACTTAGGGGGTGGAAGTGAGACGGGAACGCCCGTACGAACGGACGTGGCCTTTTTCCGTTGAAAGAGCGAAAAATGAGGATTCCGTGCGCGGAGGCGGAGTTATTGAATATCAAAGTTTCGAAATTCCGCGGTGCCAGCAAAGTTCACTCGAAAACATAACTTATAAGTAACTTCGACTCCGGGGCGGGTGGGATTCGACCGGGGAGAGGTATGAGGACAGGGAGACGACGACGGGTCACCCGACTAAGGGTGAAAAAGCAGAAGGGCGGAAGTCGGGCTGGAAATGGCGGGGGTGGAGTCGTGCAGAGGGGCTGTCGCGGGGTGGCGGCGGACGGGGGAGGAACGAGGGCCGGGATCATTCGTCTCCCTGAGCCGGAAGTTAGGCTGAGCTCCGACTCGAGGACGAAGTTTGGTCAGAGTCCAAGTCGCTAAAAGGAAGAAAATTTCAGAAAATACGGAGGAGACGCGCGTACGTCGCGAGCCATTGGAGAAATTTAGCGCGGCCGGTATAGCGTTGCGGCTGGCCTCGCAAACTCGCGAAACTCTTTTAAACGAACTAACGTCGGCAACGTCGCCCACGGAATGTTCCCCACAGGGACAAGCAGAAGTCCTCGAGCGTGAACACGTGCTCTAAGATAAAGAGGAAAAGAGAGAGAGAGAGAGAGAGGGAGGGAGGGAGGGAGAAAAAGGTCGAGGATGGAAGGATGTCGTACAGGATGGGCTTGCATTGCACTACTGCAATACCGGGCGCCACCAAGAAGATGCTCTCCCGGCGGCAGGAAGAAATCCCGCGAAGATGCGTGGCTTCTCCAGACGCGGTTTTAATGGCACCGGAAAGTCGGTCTTTGTGATATAAGGCACACGTAAGCAGCCCGCTTAACCCCGACGACGCGCGGACCATGTAATTTCGCTCGGTTCTTAAATGGCTTTATAAAATAAACAAGGAATCAAAATTACTAACAGTATAACATAAAATTACTAACAGTTTAAGCTTCTCCTCGTGCATTTCTATACGTATTGATGTGTCTTAAAAGTAAATAGATACTATAATTTTTTTAAATGGTAATTTGTTTCACTTTATCAAGTCGACAAAAATAAATTACTATTGACAAAAATCATGGTTATTTATTCTTGAGATATCTCTGTATATTGCTTCTTGGGAGGAGAGAGAGAGAGAGGGAGAGGGAGAGGGAGAGGGAGGGAGAG